AATACCGATTTCATGCGTTTTGTCACTGGAGTGGGAGGCCAACTGCCTCCGGATATTAAATACGGATAAGAGTCACATACAAAAATCAAGATACACTTGAGCGGCCACCCCTATGGCCAAATATCCAAGCGCCCATGTAAAATACCGCTAGGTTAAATATCTATTTCTGGACCAATTCATCACCAAATTTGAATCTGAGACGTAGAATTTCTTCACCACATTGAGATCTGCCGATTCTACGTCTCAATTTGCTGAAAATTTGAGTAATGAATATGAAATAGAAGTCAGAAAATTTTGTGAAAAGTTGGTAGTTTATAGATGACGTGCACCATAGTATGACTCTCAGTGATGTAAATCAGATTTGGAGTGGAAGCGTTAATTCTGTATGAGTTTCACTATACAAGAGTGCATAGTTAAATAAAAATATCAGGTTTATAATATTGACTTGTTCTTTGCAGCTGGAGTAACTATTAATACTACCTCTGTTCGGAAATAAATCAAACAATCAGAAAAAATGGAAAATGAAGAGCAACACAAAAAAATTCTTGAATCTACGAACATGTCCGGATAGAGGAGAAAACAACGAATCCAATCGCAGTGCTTTCCCACCAAAATTCCACCAATCATAGATGGCCGTCACGTTTGAATATTTAATACATTGTTTCATATAGAATCGTTATCCGGATAGCCGGTTACGATAATACTACCGGTACCGGTAGTACTGTATGATTTATTCTATTTTCAGGGTCTGTCATTAGGCACTTCTATTTCCGTCCTTGGAACGGTTATTTTAGGTTTATTTCGTCCGATGCACAACTGATTCACGCCATGTGCGTTATGTTCGCCAAACATTCGATATATTTCGTCCTGACCCTACATGGTTCCAGTATATTTCTACTATATCCGGTATATGTCTCTCCACAACTAGTATATTTCACACGTTGCTCAATATATTTCAAATGATGTTCCATCAATATCGATTTTAGATGCAAATCAAGGAAATCGCAGGTGGTGGACAGCGTTTTGAACTTGTCTAAACCATAGATATGAGTCGACGTGAATCATCTACAAACCTACACCTTGTAGGTCGAGTTGTTCTACGGTCTAGCTGAAACTTTGATGCCATGGAAGTTAGCGCCTGAAAAACCAGAGCGTTTATTTGCTTGATAAGCATCTAAAATCGAAATTGATGGAATATCATTTGAAATATATTGAACAACGTGTGAAATATACCGGGTGTGGGGTGATATATACCTGCAAGGTCAGGACGAAATACATCGAATGCTTGGCGAGCATAGCGTGAATCAGTTGTGCGTCGGACGAACAGAATAACCTGAACTTAACTAAAGGAAAAATGGTGTAGTACGGTACTTACTACTCCGACGTAGTACAGTACTGCGTAGTACTATTAGTGATATACTGGTATCCATTTTCAGAAGCTTATTGGATTATAGAGTGGAAAATGACTTGCATTCCACAATTTACTGTACTGTTAGCTCCCACTAGTACTGTACTCGGAGGTACTACGTACTGTAACTATTAATAGTATTAATGTAGTATCGCAATTCTACTAGTATTGGTTATTCGGATTCTACTCTGAAAGGCACATCGTATGGTATAACTTGTTCACAGTTTTATTGTAATTTGATCTAGTTATGCTACCAGAGTGGTTCGTTGCTGTCGAGGACTGTGAAGCAAAATCTCAACACCTACACTACCATCGTCAATTTCAATTCATATCCGCATCAAGAGGTCTTGATGCTCCGCACAACAAACGCGCGCCACGTTCTGACATCTCCAGCTCGTTCGTAATGCGATAGGAAGTTTCACGTGCAGCATCAGGATGCTCGTCCAGACTCTGGTCTGTTCCGAGCAGTTTCACAAGTCAGTTACGCGACCGTTTCCGCGCCGTTTCGACCTCCATCTTGGCGCGGTGGCCAATAGCACAGCAGTGTATCCTTCGTTCCTCAGACACTAGTCGCCACATGCTGAGTCTCAACCCCCGAACCAGCAACATACTCAGTGTCAAGATGCTCCATGCCATTCTCGAATCGATCTTGGGCTCGACATGAACACGGACGACAACAGTTTTGTCAAGTCATTCTTCGTGGAAGAGGGCGCCAACCATGCATTCAGCCTTACGCAACATCGGTCCCACACTCGACCGTATGGGCAAAACGAACTTTCTACCTTTTATGTGTACGCTACAGGTCTCACTCACCTTACTGCCCATCGATTTAGGGACAGCCTTTTCAACGACCACGATCTCTTTTCGGGCTACAATATCGACGATCCACTTGCGGACGTCAAGCAGGAATCGGGTACCCACGACGGTGGAATGTTCGAACCACTCGACCACACCCATGCCCCCCTCACGCCACTGCACAAAGTAGACTTTGCTTCGTTCCCTGTATTCAACGACTATGAATTGCGCGTGCCACAACTCGCGTCGACGCCAACCAGTACGTTTGAGCCTCAGTACGCGAGTTTCTTTCACCATAATCAGTACCATCCCAATGCCGGCGCCCCTCCCTCCTCGTACTCCAACCACCATCACCTACACCAATCACAATATGCTCTCCCTCCACACCACCATCCTGTCCAGATTCAGCCCACGTCGTTTCAGTACCAGGATCCCATGGGGGGCTTGCGTGCAAGCACAACCATCTCGACATCCCCTGCCATCGAAGTGCGCAAATTCCCCGCGGACCCCGACTTTAGAACGTTCCAGCTGGCGAATCACGTGCTGCCCCCTTCCCACCATCGGTCTGTATCGGACTTTAAACCGCCTCAATCGATGCAAAAAGTCCCCCTCCAACGAGCCACGACAGCTCCCAACCACCAAGTTGTCGTTCCATCCTACAAATCCAAAGGCAAGCGGTGTACGGAAGGCGCGTGCACCCGACGCGCCCAGTCCAACAACCGATGCAAAGCCCACGGCGGCGGCGCTCGCTGCCAGCATCCAGACTGCCCCAAGAGCTCCCAAGGCGGGGGGTTCTGTCGCGCCCACGGCGGGGGCAAAAAGTGCGAGTACGACGGGTGTGTCAAAGGGCAGCAGCGCAAAGGGTTTTGCTACGCGCACGGCGGCATTCGCAAATGCAAACATGCGCAATGCGACAAGAAGGATCGAGGCAACGGCTATTGCATCGCCCACGGCGGCGGCAAGCGATGCACAAGCGACGGATGCATGAATGCGGTGCGAAAAGGCCGGTTCTGTAGGGCCCACATGCCCACAAGTAACGACGACTGACAGCTCGCATCAATCAAAAATATCCCACACCGTTGGGGTGGAATATCATATAAGGGCTACTTGCGTTCACGTTCAAGGCCAACTGCATAGTAATTGCTTAGTAATGCACTCAACTGCTATAGCGAATTCCGAGACACGGTACACAGCCTCAACTCAACACACAGCCGTGTTCCTACTGTTTGAGTTGAGCATATGGCCCAATAGAGTGACAAGGCAATGTGTCCCAGCGGGTGTACGTACTTTATCGTTACGACAGGTCATTCGAAGTTGACCTCGTTCAGAGTCGGATCGGACCAGACGACACTGATTCAAACAGGTCGTTCACTACTCTGTCGAGAGTTTGGGAACGTCTGGCATTGACTTGCGCTGGAAGACAGAGAAGAGCGCCGAGAGCAGCGTGCGCAGGATCACAGCCACGCCACAGAGCACGGCGCCGTACACAGCGTACACGTCCAGGAGGAACGTCTTTACGACTGGCTGGGTGTGGTGGGCGGGGATGAGCGCCGACGCGCCTCGGTCTGCCACGGCCAGCACTACATTTGCCGCCTCCGAGACCCCGCCCGCACTGGTCAAGAGTCCGCCGAGTCGGGTCGCTGCCTTGGCAAAGCTACAGAACAACCCACCATGATGATGACGACAACCAAACAATAACTCACCGATCGTGGGTGAGGAGGAGGTGGGCGGCGTGGCGAAAGTTGTCGATTGTCAATTCCGTTGCTTCAATGGACACGCCTGCGCCCGCTCGCGTCACCCTGTCCACGAATTCCGCCTGAGCCAATCAACACACACATATGAGCACCAGAATGGGTGGACACGACCATCAACAACGAGCTATGGGATAAACGTGGGTACTTGTTCGGCGGAGAATGGAATGCCGAGGACGGGGCGGCCGACACAAAGCGCTTCCTGGACGTGGTGGAATCCGCCGGCCGTGACGAAGAAGGCCGCGCGTTGGAGCACCGCCGTGTGGGCCACGAGGGGGCTAAAGTATACTTCCCACGACTCGAGCGCGTGCCACGGTGCCCCGTCGTCGGCGGTGCTCCATGCCTTGTGCTACACGCTGTCACATAAACCATCGAACGATCGAACGATCATTACCAAGTCGGCTGTCAACTTCCACACCACGCGCAAGTCAAGTTGCCGCAACACGGTGATCTACATGGGAAAAAAAAAAAAAAAATATTATTGTTTTGAGAAAATGCCACGAAAAAAAGTATAAGAAATCAATCGTACGTACGATCTGGGTCACGACTTCAATCGACACCCACACATCTGGCCCAAAGTCGACATATACAACTTGAAACGGACCAGCGGCATCAGCGGCATCGTCGTCGTGGTTTTGCGGAGAAATGTCAAACCAAGAAGCCAGGTCCGCATCCAACGGCGCGGTGGTGTGGCGGCGGAGGGCGCCAACCTAGAGAAGAAGGCCGTCATCATGTGACAACGTATGGTTGTGTTTATGCTAAACTGGAGCGAGTGACACAATCGACACAACCAAATGATATATACACAAGAGTCATCGGCAAAAGGATATTTAGCCAATCAGATTGCAGGAAACAACCCTGATCAACGTCAAATTAGTGTGTGACTTCAACTAGTGTGATACTAGTCACCACAGGACAACAGATTTACATACAATATATATATATATATATATTGTGCTTTCGAGTGAACTTTCGTGTTGTGGTTTCTCGTTGGAATTTAAATCGATTTGATTGGCTACCTCAGGTGAGCTCGAAATTATTAGCCAATCAAAACCTTCTCAATAAAATTCAACCAAGCAGATCGATTGTGGATCGGTTTGGTCGGCGCGATTCGATTGCACCCAAATTTGTACTATCAAATCGACAATACAACGAATAATCGATCGATCGATAGACTTGGCGATTCAGCACAAAAGTCAGCCACATTTTGGGTAATACAAACACAATAATACCATTCGATGCAAAGGCGTGAGCGGGCGCGGGTACTCCAAGCCAAACACAGTGTTGGTGACCACCACCGTGTTGGCATGCGACGACGTGCGAGGGTTAACCGACGAACTGATAAGGTCAAGGTTAAGCAGGCGAAAGCGAAGTCGAAAGTAGCCGTTCATGCAGCGCTGGAACACTGTCATGACTTCCATGCTCGGGTGGTGGGACAGCGGCGCCGGGACGTACGCGGGCGGGTCGTCGATGTCGAGGAGGAGAAATGGGTTGTTGATCACAAATGGAATGCCCAGGGAAGCGGCCACGTCCATGCCTGCAAACGTGTAGCGGTCGACGACCTAAAACCAATCATATTGGACAAACGAACAACATGGAGGTCGTACAATGAGCGACGGCGGGTCTTCCGTAAAGTCTTCGACTAGCGGGTGCAGCATTGGCTGATGGAACGATGCATAGTGTTGAAGGGATGTCCTGTAGCTAGCATAAACACCGACGTGGCCAATCTGCGGCAATGGACGTTTTTAGAGGGAGGATGTACGGACGATGGAGTACCGCAGTCTTGATCGTGAGTGCATGGGAAGGCACAGACATCGTTCCTAGGGAAATGAACTCGAGGCCAGGCACGTCGCTCACCCAGCTGCGGCAAATCTGCGTATGCATCCACGGATGAGTCGATTGGGTCGTGGACAGGGAGACCTACCTCGGGCATGGCGATGCTGACGCGATACCCGCGGTGCAAAAGCTCTTCCGCGAGATGCTTCAGAGGCAACACTCGTTCCATGATGGGAATGCTGACCATGGACACGTACACGGCCGACGTTGACGTGGCCGCCGACTGGAACGGCGCGGCGGCGGCGGCGGTTGGGAGGCCGATGGCAGCAATGTGTTCACCCAATACATACGTCACGACGCACACAAGCACGAAGGTGAAGATGATCTGCTTGATGAAGTTGGTGCGGCCACTGCTGTTGATGGTTTTGTTGCTGCTGAGTGCAGCAGCAGCAACGGGTCCGACATTCCACTCGACACCGCGCACCACACGTTCTTGGTAATAGGTCGACTTTGGCTGCACACGGACCTGCGTAATGCCTCGCTCCATCGATACAGACGTCGGCGATGCAGATGGAGGCATCGCACCAGGCGTCGACGGCGACGTTGAGCTCTCGAGATACATGCCCACGCGCCAAGGTGGATGATACCTGGCAGCAGGGGTCATAAAATTACTGGTTTATTCGAACTACGGATGCTGGTACATGGAACAATTTCATTGGCTACAAAGATATCCATTTGTCTTGGTACTGGATTTGATTGGTTATAATTCAATCCATGCGTTGCTAAGGGAAAATAAGTTAAAGGTGCAGTACGTCATCATCATCATGCGTTGACCGACGTAGGCGACGCTTGGTGAAGGGCGTCCTCGACGTGTAGATCCCAGTCAACCCCAACAGGTTGCGGTAAGACAGTCCGATGCGCTGGAGACATGTACGTCGGCAAGCCACCGCCGTCTGCTCTACCACTGATCCGCGACTCCCGAAGAGGGTGGAGTTGAATCGACTCGGCCTGACTTGTTTGCCGCTGAAACGGGCCAGAGGGTGACACAACATGCGTCGCCCGCCGTTGCAACGCTCGAAGGTCTGGTACGAGGTTGTCCACACTCTGCTGCATGCCGATGGACGCATTGAAGTGGTGGACGGAGCTTCGAGAGAGCGAATACAGGAGCGCCATGTCCAGCACTTGCGACGACAGCAAGATCGGCACGATGGGCTTGGCTCGGTTCTCGGCGAACGCTAGCTGATCTCGCAACGTTTCACTACGCCTCCCACTTTAGTCATGCCATGTTTGTTCCGCCTCCATTTTACCTCTTGGTCGACACGTCCGATAGCACCAGGAGCACCGCAATGCAGTTGGGATCCAGCACATGATCTTTGGCCAGCATCTGGCGGTTGGGCTTGGGCTGGTCCAGTTTGCATCGGATGCCCACCGCTTGGAGCTGGTTCTGCAGTGCCTTGGCGAACGACACGTGGCAGTCTCCGTGGCACAAAAACACATAAGCGTCACTGGCGGCGACGGACACGACGGATGACGACCCGCTGCGTCGAGACCCGTCGTGGGAGTGCTGCACATGCAGCTCGAGCGCCTGGTGCTTGAGGGCGGCGGAAACGACCCGGCGCTCCTCAATCTCGTCGCGCAGGCCGTCGAGTAGTTGGCGAATGTGCACGTGGTACCTAATGTTCGTAGTACATAGGACCGATTACTACCGATTAGGCCCACCGAGCATCATGCACTTGGTTTGCTGGGGAGTGGGCGGACTTTTGTCTTACTGGTTGTTGTCAAACTCGAATGTGACGTGGTTGCCTGCTTTGGCCGTGGAGAGGATGGACGGTCGAAAGTCCACGGCTTGCCGAGTCCACAAATACACTTCGAGCTCGTCCCCCACCACGACATTGCCGCACGTGATGCCCACGACTACATGGAAATTGTTTTGTCATTTTATCCAATCATGAGGCAGTTTGAAATTGAATCATTTTATCCAATCATGAGGCAGTTTGAAATTGCATCATTTTATCCAATCATGAGGCGTTCTGAAATAATTTTAGCCAATTGAAACTATTGTACATACCTGGGACGTTGTGCAACTTGGCAAATGCAAGCTCCTTCATGCACCACTGGGACTGGGGGTAGTCTTCGCTGAGCACAGCGAGCACCACAGACGCGCTCTGGATGCCGCGCGCAATCTCTTCACGCCACTCGGAGCCACCACCGATGCCCGTGGGGTCGAGCTGGTCGATCCACGTCGTGATGTGGTGGTCTTCCAGCGACTGCCGCACTTTGAGCGCAAACGACCGGTGCGAGTGGCAGTAGCTGATCATCACATCCCGTTGCCCCGCCGCTACAGCACCAGCCCACACTTCCTCAGCCCACACTTCCTTTGAACATGTCAACTCTAGGACAGTCTGAACCTTTTTTGACGGCGTATTGCATCTCGGATGACGTGGCGCAGTCGATGGCCCGCACACCCTTGGCGTCCACGGCCGTGACGTCTAACCCCATTTGCACCAACAGCTTGGCCATCTCCACATGCCCTCGCTTTAGTGCCACGTGTAGCGCGCTTTCACCCTACTCACCAACACATATATATCACTTTTCCATGAGATGTATCGATGTGACATGGTGAAGCCGCACCGTAATGTCGTGGCGGGCATGGATGTTGCCGCCATACGCTCGCAACAGGCGCAACACAGCCTCCCGCGGACGCTGCGCATGCGACTCAAAGCCGGCGACCAGTAGCACCACGCCACGTCCCCTCGTGTCCACCTACGTGCATCCCCGTCACTCTTCACATTGCACTGGGGGTGGTCGTACGAACCACAGTCACATCGGCATTGGCGCGCAAGAGCAGCTCGACCACGACGTCGTGGTTGAACACACAAGCCCACGACAGGGGCGTCATCCCGAGCAAGTCGACGGCGTTCACATTGCACTCTGGGGCCGTCACGAGCACCTCCACCACCCTCGCCTGGCCTCGCATCGCGGCCTGCAAACCAATCCATACATTCATTTAGCGGGTTTAGGACCATAATTCCAAAACATGCAAAGTGCACTGTGTACATATATACCCAGTGCAGGGGCGTGCGGTGGAAGCGGCCGGTGGAGTTTTCCCCGAGGATGTTGGGGTCGATGCCGGCCTCTAGGAAGGTGGCGACGGTCTTCCAGTCGCCGTCCGCGGCGGCCGCGTGCATGGGGGTGAGCGCAATGTCGGCGCCCCACTCAACCATCGCGTCCGCCAAGTTGAAGTTGCCACTGCGCACCACGACTTCGTACGCCGTCATGAAAAACCTAACCCAAACAACATCCGCACGTTACAAACACGAAAACACGTATCGCGTCGTCGAACCCGTTGCCAGGAATGTGCAGGAGATTGGCCCCGGCGTCCATGAGAAGGCGGAGGCAGACGGCGCAGTCGGCATGGAAGAGCGGCGGGACCAGACACTTGCGCTGGTTGGATGCCGCGACTTGATTCGGGTCAGCGTGGGCGGCCAAGAGCAGCCCCACGATCGCGCTTTCGTTGTGCATCATGGCAACGTGCAGCGGTGTGAGCAGCGTCTGGCACCAGAACGCCGACGGGCCGTACCGATGCGCCGACGCCCCGGACGCCTCGGAGAAGTTGGTGCTGCGGAGGAACACGAGCACGTTGAAGATAGTCTGGTACCACTGACTCAGGTCCATCAAGCTCGGCGTTTGGATCTTGTCGAGGGCGTTCGCGTCAAACCCGGCGGCGAGCAGCTTCTCGACTACGTTTGTGCGGCCCTTGATCACTGCTACATGCAGTGGATTCCGCACACTTGTGGCCACGTGTCGGCCAAATAGGCGGTTTTGCGAGTACCTATAAGTGTCCAGTTGCTTCGTGAATAGAGAAGAAGGTAGAGGTAGAGTGATGGGGTCTTTATTACCACGACCGGTGAAAGTCAGCGCCGTCGAGCGAGATGGCTTGGTGTAGGAATTGGTCCAGCGCGGCTTCGTCGCCCGTGGCTGCCGACTCGTACAGTCCTCGCTTGATCTACAAATGAACCATCATTATCCAAATAAGATGGATAGTTTACATCTCCCGCTATCAGCTCGAGTCATCACGTGGATGCGACTGACCAAACATGGAGCCATTGTTGGCCAGTACACAAACAACTCGTGTGTACCTCTCGCAAACTTCGCCGTCTGGACGGGCTGATCTGCCACAGCTTCCACCAGTCCGGATCCGAGAACTCAAACAAGTGGTTGGTTGGCAGCATGTTGCGCTGGCCCAGTGCCACGTCACGCATGCGGTTGAAGAGGGTGATCTGGTACCAGCACGCCACGTACACGTACACGTCGAGCGCAAGCAGCACAAATACCTTGGCTTTCAAAGACGTGGGCAGCTGGTTCAGGCAGTCGCGGTAGAAGTGGCGGACGATCAGCAGGTACACGTCCAAGACGAGTTTACACCCGAGAAACACGATTTCCATCATCACGAGGAGCTCGCAGATCGTGTGGAAGTACGACTTTTTCCGCTGGGTCGTGTACAATTGAAACCTAAAGCAACATGATGCGATTGAATGGACACTGTGGTCGTACATGGCGGCATGGGACGTCGGCAGACACACGATGACGTTCGCGACGGCGGCGTACACGGTGGTCTCGATGCCGTCGACGATGTCGTCGCAGCGACCTGTGCCAGTGCCAGAAGGATCTCTGTATGAAAACGCGAACAACTCTGGGGTGAACGCGAACAGACTCGCCAACAACGCCGCGTGAATGAGGGTGATTTGAACTGTCCATGAGATCATGCGAGCACTCACGAACGTATTGCCGTAGTACGAGAAGAGCGACACCTGTCGCATCGTCCGCACGCTCCATTTTACCGCCAGGTCCAGCGGAGACGCCTCGTCTGGATTCTTTGCGCCATCGATGTACCGATCGAAGCGCACATCGTCGTCCGTTTGCAGCGACGACGCGCGTTGATATGTGGTTGGGGTAAACCTCTGTGTGGACGTACGCGGCGAATGCGCCAAGACGAATGCCGCGTGGCATGTTGTTGGTGCCTGGATGAGGTTGATATGCGTTGCCAACGGCGGTGGCGGCGGCAGGTCGGAGTCGTCGACTTGCATTGGTGGATACATTTCACACTTTGGTCTATGCCATTATGTTTACTACACGTCTGAAACCGACCCAATACAGTAATCCAAGCGTTTCGAACGCGCTGACATCATTTCTACCGGTAAGTCATACTGTACGGTACGTTTGGGCAAGTCAATACTGTACCGGTACTGTACTGACAGTGAAGCCTGTGGCTGGTCGCGGAATATGTATGTATTTCTGTCCATGTTTCAAGATATTCCGAGCTTTTGATTGGTTGTTACCCAAATTATCCGGATAACGCTATCGTTCACGCTTTCCGGAATAACTCAGGCATGGATGGTCTGGCACTCTTTTCATAAAAAACGAAAAGTATTGATCGACATTTTTTGGATTGCGAAAATATTTTGTCCGGATACGTCTCAATCTCGGACTAGGACTAACTGTAAATCTATTAATACTACTATTATTAATAATACGTACTCTGGAGTAGTACCAAATACAGTGTACTCCGAGTACTACGTAGTTCGAAGTATTATTATTAATACTGTACTACTCTGCGCCTTCATATAATGTCAGATGGCTGTGTTTTATAGGTAATTTAACGTACATTTGGTTTGACCAATGAGAGTCACGAAACAAATATATATTCAGCCAATCAAAGCAAAGCCAGGTGTTCTATCGAAATGCATGGATATAATTGGTGGATTTCTACCAATCGAAATCTGTAGACGACATACTGCATCCATTTAATTGGCGGAAACATCTGCTGATCACATACCGTACTGTAAGGCGGGTGTGACTATTTTACACATGTTAAGTGCTTGTTATTCTGTCATTTATGATCGACTCGCTTTATTAACATCAATCAAAATATTTAAAATTCGCAATTTGGCCCAGGGGTCGCCGTGATAGGAGAAATTTCCTTAAATGCACACTTTACAGTTAATAAAGCACAGAGAGTACTACTCCGGAATACTACTATTAATAGTAGTAAGTACTGTATTTACTATCAATATTAAAATTATTATCCATACTGTTCAGTAAAGTAGTAATATTAATATTAATAGTACCTCGAAGTAATAAGGTATGGGTCGCCCAGAACTACGACAATACAGTATTAACTAATTAATAGTAAATACTAGTACTCCGGTAATAAGTTACTGTAGTGTTAGCTCAAAAATAGTTTTTGTTATTTTTGGTCTTATCTTCTATTATTTTTATGTTATCTTTTGTATTAATACAACAAAAAGATGATTTAGAAAAATTAACTGCATATAAATGTCTTATGATGTTTGTGCGTTCGTATGGTCTAACTAACGTTAGTTATATTGTAATGCTAAATTCCAATCCATCCATCTGTTCTATTTTGGGATGACCTGACACGTCATTGGTCAGTGCAATATCCAATCACAACGATAATTGGCGGCACTATTCAGCGTCGTTCCCTGTATTTACTCGATAGCGAAGTACTATACACTGTTAAGCAAGCCATCTCGAGTGCATTTACATTCTTATTTAATTGCCGGCTTATCGTTGTCGTGTAGCGAGTACAAGAGCGAGATCTCTTCCTCGTACCCGTCGTCGTCCACGTACGGCGTCTCGATGATCATGGGGATGTGGTTGAAGCGTGGGTCGTTCATGAGTCGGCGGAATGGCTCGAGGCCGACGCGGCCGCGCCCAATCTTCTCATGGCGGTCGGCATGACACCCGACGTCACCCTTCGAATCGTTCAAGTGCACGGCCTTGAGGTACTCAAAGCCCACCGTCGCTTCGAACTCGGCCATCGTCTTCTCGTAGCTAGGTATTAATAGTACATGTTGGTTTTTATTGGAAACTGGAGCGACATGAAGAATGAATGAATCGACACACCCAAATATGTACTAGTGCAGACGTATCGGTAGTAGAATGTAGCCAATCAGGTTGCAGGAAACCATCGTCAACATGTAATTAATGTGCGTTTAATTAGTGTGATGATATTGTTGTGTTTATTTTAAACTGGAGCGACATGGAGAATGAATCGGCACAACCAAATGCATAGGCAGAAGCATTTAGCCAACCAGATTGCAGGAAACCATCAACAAAGTCAAATTAGAGTATGACTTTAATTAGTGTGATACACATCAGCACAGGACCCTTTTTACATACGAAATTCAGTACAACGAATCGATCGATAGATTTGAGTTGGCGATTCAGCACAAAAGATCAAATTTTGGGTAAAAGGACACTCATCCATGTTGATCTGGCAACTTACGCATCATCGCGAAGGTCCCATCCTGCGGCAAAGGCATGACATGTGTCCAAGCACACCCCCACGCGGTGACGGTGCTCTTCGGACACGCGGTCGATGATGCCGCGCAAGTGGGTAAAGGGCCCGCCAATCGTGGATCTACCAGTACCGTGTTCATCATTTGGACAGGTCGTGCACATTTCGTGGCCATATAGAAGTATACAAAACCCAAGACGAAACACATGCCAGATGGACAAGAAGAACGCACCCCTGGTTGCTCATGTTTTCCACGAGAATGGTCACGCCCGTGGTTTGCTGTAGCGTTTGCTCGATGGATTCGGCGATCAAATCCAAGCATTCGTCGACCGAGATCTCGTTCTTGGTCGCGCCCGGATGAAAGTTGTACAGTGACAGACCGAGTGCTTCGCACCGCCGCACCTCGTCCAGAAGTCCGTCGCGGCTCTTTTGAAGGACGCCTGCGTCGGGGGAGCCGCAGTTGAGGAGGTAGCTCCCGTGAGGCACGACGTCGCCTGGGGCGTACCCAAAGCGCTTCATGGCGGCGTGGAAGGCGGCGATCGTGTCCGGAGTCAACGGCTTGCATGTCCATGTGCGCTGCGACCGCGTGAAGAATGCAAACGCCCGCGCACCGATCTTGGCGGCGTTAAACACTGCATTCTCGAGTCCACTGGCGCCAGACACGTGCGCGCCCACGAGTTTGTTAGAATCACCTGTCTGCTCTCGCCGAGTGTGTATGAATGACAGGTACGTGTCGAGTTGTGCGGCCTTTTCAAGCTCCTTCTTGGACGCCTTCTTGGAGGCTAGAGCTGGTGGTTCGGGAGTGGTGCCTTCCTTTTCTGGAGAAGGGATGGGTTCTTTCTTGATACGCTTGGACGACGACGATCGAGGCTTGGTTACAGCGGTCGCTTCCTCCTTCACCTCCACCTTTACATCTTTGACAGGCCTCTTCTTTGCAACGGCGGCCGTTGGCGTCGCAGCTAATGAGTCACGGCACACCACTCGGAGACTTCGCCGCATCCTGTGCTCAACTTCTCAAATTCTTTTAGGTTCAAAACAATATAAATATTGGTAATTTCAAAATATTTTGGTGCCAATATAAATAGAACGATAGAAATTCAACAAATACAAAAGCCAAGGTATTTTTATTGCATATCGTTTGATAAGCATAGAGCAGTGCATTTGATTGGCTAAATATTCACCAATCAAGTACGGATATGTTACTGGGGTAGGGGGACGTTCTCCACCAGCTATTCAACCATCAAAGCGAAGATAATTCTCAATCTGATGATGCACCGGTTCTTGCTTCAGGTCCAGGCGGCGCCGTTGACTCGGCAGTTCGCGTCCAAGGCCCGCAAAGCCACCAAGACGCTGATCAAGCCCAAGGATGCCAAAGCCCCACATCGATCCCGCGGGCCATCGCATGCGGTGAACAAATTGTTGCCGTACGTCGACGACGGCAAAACGTACCGAGTCGTGTTTGCGAGCATCTTGGAACGTCTGCCGTTGATTCTGCCCGACATGGAACCATGGGAGGAAGACTACTACCGCATGAAACACAAGATCGAACTCAAGGAAGCTCTGGTACGCACGCAACAACACGTGATTCATCCCAATCGTTGCGAGCTCATCACTTTTGTAGCGTCTGCCCAAGGACTTTTGGTTCCAAGAACCTGGGACCGTCGACGTCGAACCGGAAGACGCGCCTTTCCTGTCGGAATGGAACGAAGATGAATTGGTCGGCGATGGATTCCAAATCGCCAAGCGCGAAACAGAAGACGACGCGACAAACAACCGCCACTCGTTGAACCGAGCGTTGAAGCAGCGCGTGTTCCTCATTGTCCAAGACCCTACGTCCCTTAAATGGACGTTCCCTACGACCGAGAAGGCGTCCGCCGACGAAACCATGCGCGCCGCGGCGTTCCGCGAACTGGCAGACACGATCGGCACCGAGGTGGAAGCGTACCCGGTGGGCAACGCTCCCATGGGTCACTTGACCATCAGCCACGAAGACGAGCCGACCTTCGACGGCAAAGTCCACGGCACGAAGGTGTTCTTCTTGAAGGCCCAGACATTCGGCAACGAAGGCGTGGTGAACCTGAACAAGGACAAGGCTGCCGACTACCTCTGGGTCACGCAGAGCGAACTGGCCGAGTATTTGGAACCCCACGTCGCAGATGTGGTCGTGAAGGTCGTGCCTCCTTAGATATATAGCCCCGCACCGCCTTCTTGTAGCTTTTAGAGGTGTTACGTAACCAACCACACATGCAACCACACCCACGACTTGCTCGAGTGTCCCATGCTCTCCAGCTATAACGTTATGTACTATACTTTAGCCGTAGCTTCTAGCTTTATGTACTAGTACAATGGAGCCGTAGTAGTTCTACTCCGTTATATGGCGCAGCGATGTACACTGTTGTAATGTGGTGATATTATTAATACACTGTCCCAATGTAGCGATGTTCGAGCTCAAGGTCGGCGAACACTGGGCGACAGAACATGATTGAAGTGTGAGTTCACTATAGTTATGCGACTCGACGCACACACAACTACTACAGTTCACTGTACTACACCTTTAGTTGGATGAATGCCCGACATATTTGGCCGTGTGCCCGATATATTTGGCCATGTGCCCGTTTGATTTGGCACACCGAGGTCGTGTGTGCCCGATATAATTAGCCGTGTGCCCGATATAATTGGCCATCTGCCCGATGAACTGTGTCGTGTGTCCGATGAAAATGGCAATAACTCAAATAATTATATTTCATGGAGAGCAAATCAGTTTTGGTGGAAACATCATGTGGTTGAAGTTTGGAGGAAAACGCGCGAAGGCAAGATAATTTCGAAATTTATACTTGAATAAAGTATAGTTTAAGTTCATAATGCGCGCGCTTTCCTCCAACACTTTGAATGCTCATTATTCGAATCGCGTAGGAACGCACAGCATGGACGTCGCTGCTCCCCCATGAACTCTGGTAATGATGTCAAGTGAAGTATTACCCCTATGCTCATATTCAAATCGCCAAGGAACGCACAGCATGGACGTCGCTGCTCCCCCATGAACTCTGGTAATAATAATGTCAATTAAAGTATTGCCCGTACGTATACTTCAACGTTTCGTCCATACTTCAACCTCCGTCCAAAATTTGAATCTGTCGCGCGCAGAGCTCATTTTTCGATTTACCTCAAGGTACGCACCCTCGATGAACGCGCGAAGGCCATGGGAACATGGACGTTGGTATGTGACGTCACAGCAACGATGCTGCATGTGTCGTTTAACGACCATTTCTATATTGAATTGACTTTTTATTGCGTGATTTCCATATTCATCTGGCACATGACACAATTCATCGGGTAGACGGGCAATTGCTTGGGCACACGATCAATATATCGGGCATTCGTCCAACTTAACTGCAAAAAGGTGTAGTAGACACCTACTTACCCAGACATTGAATGACTGACATACTAGTAGTATGAGTAAGAGGTCGATCTACTATATCAACTGTTGCTCGTGACGACATCCGAATGCATGAAGGAGAGGATTAATACTGATGTTAGTTGGTCACCTCACAAGGCGAATCCTCCGAAGTATTACTTTTTGGCGGCGACCATTTCGGCGTGGTGGTCGCGGATAGCGTCGTGCCACTTTTTGCAGTGCTGCTTCACTTGCACTTCATCGATCGTGGTCAGCACTCGGTTAGCCAGCAACCGCTTGCCAGCCACCCACACGTCCGACACGCTACAGCCAAAACATCAGCATATCTCTCTCTCGCTGCTTGACCTACTTTTCACGTCCGGCGACGTACACCACATGGCTGATGGCGCTATACATGGGCAGCATCTCCACGCAGTCGGTCGACACGGCCACAAGGTCAGCAAACTGCAATACACACACAATCCTGGCATGAGCAACCACAAGACATCCCTTGTCTTTGCGGCTTACCTTGCCGACTTCGACGGACCCAACCTTGGCCTCGATCCCCAGCGCCTTGGCTCCGTTCAATGTCGCCATGCGGAGGGCGGTGGCGGCGGGTACGCTCGTGCAGCACTTGGACTCACCCTTGGCCAAAACGGCCGCGAGTTTCATCTCGGCAAACATGTTGAGCGTATTGTTGCCTAGGACATTTCAAACGTGTGACATACATCAAGAGCGTCACGTACTGGCCGCGCCGTCCGTGCCAATGGCCACGTTGACGCCTTGCGCCAGCAGATCCGACACACGGCAGATTCCGGACGCGAGTTTCAAGTTGGACGTGGGGCAGTGCGAGACGTGCGTGCCCGCGGCGGCGACGGCGGCGATCTCGTCGTCCGTGAGCTGGGTCATGTGGGCCGCGATGAGCTGGTCGTTGAGCAGGCCCAATCGTTGCATGTTCTACACAAGTCAACGTCGAATGCGATCAAGGCGACACAGGACACGCACTTGCAGCGGGCGAGAGTGCTCGGCGGATTGGTGGCACATCATGGACGGGGTCTTGGTGGCGCTGTCGACGCACTCGGCTTCCGACTCGTGCAAGTGGAGGTGGACGCGGACGTTGAACTCGCGGGACAATGCCAGCACTTGTTCGAAGGATGCGTCCGACACCGTATACGGGGCATGCGGTGCCATGGCGAGGGAGATCTACGTTCTCGAGTGAACAAAGGACGAATCGAGGAACATGGACGTGGTGTACCAACGAAGAGTCTTTGTACTTGGTAAACATCGCGCGCGCCTTGGCAAAGTAGTCGGCGGGTCCTGTGGCGTACGCCGTGGGGAACTCCATGACCACTTGACCCACGAGCGCACGCAGTCCGACTTTCTCAAACGTCGACGCGGCGGCATCGGGGAAGAAGTACATGTCGTTGGCACATGTCGTCCCGCTGCGGATCATTTCCGCCGCCGAATGCAACGTGCTAATGCCAAACTGTCAGAGAAGGAATGTAGGAACGATATGATACACGAACCCGTCACGAACGAACTCGTCGCTGACGAATTTGCCCTCCGCAGGGAAAATGTCTTCCATGAGCCATTCGCAGAGGGGTTTGTCGTCCGCCTGCATCGTCATGCATGAGCATCATCATGCATGAAGGTAGATGGAGATCTCAAGCTGCATCGACGTAAACGTACCAGCCCTCGAAGAAGCGTCATGGATGCATGCGTGTGCGCATTGATGAGTCCCGGAATCAAAATGTGGTCTGGCAAGTCCACGGTTTCCGCGGCGATGTACACTCCAGTCACATCCGCCGTCGGCAAGATGGCCACGATGAGGCCTTCGTTTACAACCACCGAATGGTTCTCCAACACCACACCCTCGGGGACCACGGGCACGATATGACGTGCATTGAGCACCAAATCCACATTCACACCAGCCATCTTCCTTCAAATAGTGGTAGCGTTGGGGTTGGGTTTAAAACGATGCCCTGTTTCAAACGTATGACGTTTAAAACGTCTTGAATCCCTCACAATGAATGGCGTTTAATAATATGACGTGTTGTTTTTATTCACTGGAATGTGGGTCGTTGACTTCTTCAATCACGTCGTTGGAGCTGCAGCTGGCTGCAGCAAGCGGCGGCTGCTGCTGTTTGGCTTTGAACTTCTCGACGAACCGCGCGGTACCCTCGACTTCCTTGATGAGTCGGTCGAGGGTTGGTTCGATGCCTGAGAAGTCGTCCACGTTGCTTGTCGCCACACTGCATCGTCGTCTCATCACAATCATAACCTTCACGAGTATCACTTGTACCTCTGAATGAGCCCCATGACGTGCACTTGAATGCGTCTTGCCACGACAAACTCTGCTGCCTGCATATATCCACATCATGTCGATCACTCTCCATCATCTTACACAAAGCAGCACATACCCGTGCGAGAAAATCGGCGGTCTCAAGCAAGCTGGCCTTGTTGTGGCTGCTGAGCGCTTCTCTGAGCTGCGGCACCACGCGATGCAGCGCCAAGTCTGCAAACCCGACCAGCATTTCCAGTAGCGCCTTCTCGTCGTTCCCGTACAGCATGCTGGCCTTGTCCACGTTGACAAACTCGAGGGTTTGGATCTCGGCGTCCGTGATGAAGTCGTCGTCCGTATCACTGGACGCATCGCTGTCTCGGCCGTCGTCACCACCATTGTCTTGGTCTTGGCCTTCATCGCCATCGACATCGTCGTCACAACTGTTGTCCGCGCCACTGACACCACCATTGTCATCTTCTTCGTCATCGGCAAACAACCCTTTTGGCTTTGATTCCGAGAGATGTCGCCGAAGTTCGTCAATGTCGGGTAGCTACACACACTCACACATGTCAAACCCAATGGATGGTTAGCGGAGATGGGCACCCCATCTTCGGGCGGAGGTGGCGCGTGCCGTTTGTGCCGCATGGACACGGTGCTGGTGAAGTGAGGCACGTCGTCCTCCGAGAAGTCGTGGTGTGTCCGCCTCTGGATCGCCGCCATCGCCGCCTGGTGCTCGGTGGTTCGGATCACACCCACAAGCCGGGCATCTTGGTCCCCCAGCATCCTACCTCTCTTGCTTCATGATTCAACCTCTTGTGATGTGTAGTGTACCGCATGATTCTATCGCGTTCTCGCATATCTGCGGCCTCGCTCTGTTTCGCCCGTGTCAGTTGGTCGGCCGTGGACAGCAAAGATCGGTCAGACGCGCTTCTAGAATGCATCGAGCTGCCGGCGGAAGGGCTCGACACTAGGGGCGCGCCCGTGGACAGCAACCGCGACACGTCGTGGTCGTGGGTGCACAGGTCGAACCGCCGATTCGACACACACAAGTTGCATACTTGCACCTATGTATATCAATGTCATATCCCCATAAGCTACCTACACGGTGGTACGTACCGACGACGATGACGACGACGACGATGTCAAGGATGTCATAGAGCGGGCGCCTTGCAGAACCGACCCGCCGCCGCCGCTGTCTACAGACAATGCTGACACGCTTGACCGCAGCGGTCGGACACTGGAGTGACCTAAAGGAGACAACTGGTGTTTCTTCCCTCTCCGCTGTCCTGCTGTTGTGTCGTCCATGGCGGCCATTTTCGTCTCAAAATACGCATTCAAGTTGCTCACCTACCAACGCAATATGTACACAAAAGTTGGGGCTTCATAATAACAAGACGTCGAATACGCACTCGATCGTGCTGTAGCCCAATGTACGCTTGGTCGCTGGTGGTCGTGATGGTTTGGATGTGCTGTCGCATCTGCCTTGGAAAGTTCTGGCCCCCTTGCAGCCCGTTGCCGTAGCACCTCGACTCGCCTAGTACTACTAGTAACACCAAGTTACTTTATACGGGACATACTACCGTCACGCATGCGTTCGGACGCCTTGAGCTGCGTCTTGGCTTTGAACAGCAAGCGCTCCATCTGCTGCTGCACGAGGCTGAGCCCGAGCCCGCCGTTGGACGAATCCACAAGGCGCACCTTCCACGCCGTCCGCCGCTCGATGATGTACTCCCCCGGCTTGTGGTTCTTGGGAGGGGGCAGCTGTCGGAGCACCGCCACATGTCCCCGCGTGAGTGGATCAGAGTCAGCCCCCAGGTAAAACCAATCTTGCTCCAAGTAGATTTCGTGATTGTTGTACACGTAGCCCTGTGTCAGGTTCAATCGACTCCATGTGATGAGCGACGTACGTCTTTGGCATTTGCATTCGCGACAGCGGACCGCATGATCCATCGACCAAGCATCCTTGAAGACTTGTTGCGCAGTCGCGCTTGCATGTCGTCAATCTGGGAATCAGTCGTGTCATCTCGAGTCTACATCAAGCCACAGTCACAGTTAAGCGATTAGACTAGTAGACTAGCATATCCATTGAGAGAGGGGGGTGTATAGTGTTTATTGCCTTGGGCAGGTACGCTTTGACTGGTACGGGGAACCCGACGTTGATGAGCACATCGGGGTCTTGGCCGCAATTGTCTTTGTTGTCACTCGGATCCAGGGGGTTGGACGACCGTTTTTGCGACAGAGTGAGCGCGTTCAGTTCGGGGGCCTTGCGCACCTTGGCCCCTAGCACCCCCCCTTGTTCCCACGACGTTTCGCCCGTCCCGACACTCAGCTGCAGCCACACGCTGTCGCCGTACTTGATGGCGTTGGCGCTTCGCAACTCGTGTAGATTGACTAGCGTAAAGAGGAGTTTGTCCCTCGCGCCCTTAGCTTGGTGCTTGATGTGTTCCAGTGGATGCACGACCACAGAACTGTCAGCTACCGACACCTACAGCCGCCGGTTATTGTTTGTTGTGTTGAGCAAGTCGAGTATACCATCATCATATCCCCGTTGAACAGCTCCAGCGCCACGGTGCTACCAAAGTAAATTCGAGCGTCGCTCTGGGCACTAAAGTCGTTGCGGAGTTTGGCCGTGTCAATGTCGTTGGACGTCGAGGAGGATGATGTAGACGCAGGCGGGGGCTGGCCGGGGGCGTTGGTGGCAGCGACCGGCACCGACAGAGTCGGTGACGACGTGGTCCCCAGGGCTTGGAGGCGGCACAACACATCGTCCGTGCTTCCGTTGTGATGGTGCTTTTTCTTGCCACGACGAAGGGCGTCGCGTTTCTCGGGCGACGACGAGCCAGCCATCCCTAGCGCCAACGCTGGTGCCTTGCCTATCCGTCATATGAAGTTGTAAAACTCACTTTCACTACGTACCTCGAAGTCGGGAAAAGCTCTGGCGGCCAACTGGACTGCCTTCATCTCGCCCATCGCGGGACGGTGCAGCAATGGAATCCACTCGAGACAACTAACCAGCAATGACACGTAGCTTGGAGATGTCATTTCGTACCATTACAGGTGACGAAGGCGGCGGCACCGCTTCTTTGTCCACGACTGAGCCCAAAGTTTGGCCGAAGCGAACGTTTGAGACGCGGTCCGACGATGTCTTTCTACGCGAAGACGAGACGGCTGGGATTCAAAGTCCATGCGAGCGATAGATTGCTGTAACTTACAGCGCGTTCCACAGGGTGGATGTGTCATCTCGGCCAAAGGACCGAGGGTGCCGCCCCTTGCGCAGTGCTCGGTTGTACGAATCCAACGGAACGTTGACTTTTCCCCCACTCGTCGAGGCATAAGCCTTGTCGGCCATGATGGCGCCAGTTTGCGTGCTACTAGGATTGCGCAGGTAACTGTCGCGATCGTCGAAACCGATACTGAAACCGTCACCTCACAAACGTTAGGGGAGGAGTGTGCCCTATGGACGAGGACGCCCCCGCGTACGACTGCTAATACTTTGTGCTTCGACTCATCCGTGACGTAGACTGAGCCATACGGTCATCGAAGCTCAGCGCCGACACGCGCTTAAACTTCGCTTACGGTCCGTCGATGTGCTCCCCTTTCTTCGACATATGGTCATCGTAATACGTAGGAAAGAATGCTTGGCGTTCAACATCGATGTCGAGCACCTTTTTGATGTACGAATTCGTCTGGTATTGATGCCTGATCGTCAAGGTTGTAGACACCAGAACGGTCGCAGACAGCCAAGGACCTCGTGCCGCCCGAAGTGTTCTACAAGACGTTGGCATTACATGGGGTAACGCTAAGACATGAGTCAATGGATATCCGACCTGGCGGCAACGTCGTAGATCCGATTCAACGACGACGACAAAACGCTCCTCCTTCACTTTGCCTCTCCGTCGGGGTTGCTCTCCCTGCAATCGTTCCTTCACTTTTTGGACCTTCAGCGTCCCTCGGACCACGTCGATCCAGACCTGACCTTTGCCTTGTTGCCGCAGCCATTCCGCATGCTGAACAAGATCCTCGACGACGATATTCTTGACAGTACTCAACCTTCCGATTTGACCAAATAGCATGCTCAAGAGTTCATCGTAGGAGCGTGGTCCGCAATCACGTCGTCCATGACGTACAAGTTGCAGCAAGGCCAATTGAATGCCGATTTGCAGGAGAAGGAAGCCAAGGCCCTGCTCTGCCCTCCAAGTTCTGCCGTGGTGATTGCCGTAACCATCCCGTCATTGGATTGGCCAATTCGAGTCAGCGGCGACAGGGACCTGATTGGAGTACTGCACGACAATTCTACTTTGGAGCTTCTACAAGCAAACGGGGAGCAGACAATGCCCCCCACTACCCCCCTCTTCTCGTCCCCCCGCCTCCAAGTTCAATGCCTTTCGGAATTCAAACCCATGCGTCTTGGTACATACGTATATGCGTTTTGTAGGCATCGATAGTAATTGGATATACGTTTGTAGGGCAAGTCAAGCGAACGTTTTTCGCTATTTGTGCGCGCAAGCTCCCCAAACCATCGCCGCCTCCTCCCGTCGAAGGGGCTCCAGTCCAAGCGGTCGTGGACGTGCCCGACCCCGTCGCAGACTCCCTCGAGAGTTTGGTGCATGTGTATGCCACCAATAGCACCGCCACCAGTCTTCGCTACACGTTTTCAACCATGGACCGTGTCGTTGGCCTCACCTTGGCAGACGACGTGTTGTTTCTGGCCGTGCATTTCGAGTCGGGTGCCGTGGACGTGTATCGCACTCCGAATTTGGCCTCCGACCTTGCGAGTGAGAGCGTCGCGGCGCTCGATGCGACCAGCTTGGTATTGCACGTGGACCCTTCGTCGTATCGCATCCAAGCCCCCAACAAAGGGTTCGCGTCGGACGCAGCGGCGACGGCGGCGGCGGTCACGGCCACTCCGGCTGCAACGAAGGGCGACAAGCACAAGGATAAGGGCAAAGGCAACAAGGACCTCGTCGTGGAAGATGTTGCGTTGGCGATTGCCCCTCCTGCTGTCTACTCTGCTTACCTTTTCGTAGCCTTTCTCATGGACCTTTGGCCACAACCTTCGACGACACCCACCACTACTGGAATCGTGCTGGCCAGTCAGTACAAAATGCTGCAGTTTCAGCTCTCGCCAGCTCCTCCTTCCATGTGTGCATCTACTACAGTCATTCTCTCTTCGAACGTGATGTGTGCTGCATTGGACGCCAGTGCCACCCTTGTTGTCCTTGGGCTCGAGAGCGGCAGTGTTATAGCGTGGAATACTCGCTTGCACGTGGAACTGTCAGGTTTGTGTCCATCAACAATCGTCATCGCCCTCAGTATGCTACCGTAATAGGCTTGGGTTGCCATAGCACTCCAGTAATGGCCTTGTCACTGTTTAAAGCCGACTGCCTCATTAGTTTGTCAAAAGGCAACGAAGTGCATTTTTACTCCCTCGCGACTTCCCCCACCACTAGTTTTGAGTCTATACGTGAAGTCAAGTCGTTGGTTCGAGTTCGTACTGGAGAGCTGGGCACCCCCCCCTACGTTTCAGTCGCCACCGCCGCCGACGTTCCTCTTGTACGTGCCTCTGCCTCGATATCATTCTTAACATGCATTGCAACGTAGACCATCCTTGGCCAAGCGGACGGCACCGTCACCGTGCTAGACGCCCGCAACGGCGACATTTTGGGGAGTTTAAGCTTGGACGGTCGCCTTCCCATCGTGGACGCTCCTATGTCGGCACTCAGTTTTGTCGTGGGGGACGCTGTGTACATGCCAACCTCTGCCACCGAAGGCAACCAGAGCCTACGGTCCATTCATTTGAACATGTACTCGTCCACGTCCATCTTGCAAACGTGTTTTGCCAAAAGCGTACGCAGTTCCACCTCATTTTGTATTACCAACCGTTTGTTTCCACGTAGGCGTTGAGTGCGCCCAGCGTCTTCTTGGACAGATATACGCCAGCTGCCATCGCCCTATCGCCGCCAACTCTTCCATCTGCGACGACGTCGACACGACCCTCCAAGCCGTTGCCGTCCCCCCCTCCGTCCTCCGGCCCTCCTCCATCGTCAACCCACGTCGCTCGGATCCGTCGGCCATCGGTCATTGGCGGCTCGTCGTCGTTGCTGCTTCGAGGGGCCTCGACCTCCACTTGTACTGGTGCGACCATCTCCCCCGTCAGCTGCAGTTTGAACCTCCCGACGCCGCCGGCGATCAAGGGCCTCCACGCGATCTACATGCGCATGCTGCAAAAGCACGAAGCGGTCGCCATCGAACGCGATGCCCGGATGGCGAAGCGGCGCGCCGACGTGTTGAAGTCGCTCAACTCAATATGGTGACAATACCCCAAGTATTGTACACACAGCAATTTCTGTTTGAACCCCCACATACTATGTGTGTGCTAGCTACTGTACTACCGTAACTCGATATTATCTTTGTTTTTGAGATGTATTCAAGAAAGCGTTGTCGTCGTTTTTGTCCATCCTGTAAACCCCTTTTGCTTCCACGGCTTGGCCATCTTGAGCGGTTGCTTGTACTGGATTTTGCGCCGATAGAGCAAGTGGGGCCCCGTGTGCCGCTCTTTCCACGTGCGGGTCTCGTGGTTGTTCTCCCCCGCCACATAGTACGCACTCGCGTACGAGCTGATCTTTATCGGCACGGTCACCGTAACCAGCCGTTCGTCCTGGAACGCCTCCATATCCCCCGACGCGACCATCGCCTGCACGGCACGATCCACCGCCGCGTACGAGTAGAACGCCGACGATGACGACGGGGGGGCAGTAGTTGGCACCGCCCCCTTGTCACTGTGCAGGGCGGCCACGAGGTCGACGATGCTCTTGCCGCGCGAGTCGGCTTGTTTGAGAACGGCGACCACGCAACGCTTCAACGTGTCTAGTTCTGGACCGGTCAAGTCGGCGGCCTCTCCGTCGCCGATGTCGGGCGTGGCAAGTGGCGAGTTGGGCGGATTTGACGGCGCCAGCATCGACGCCATGGGGGCCAAATACATGGAGCTTTTGCGGTACTGGTCGTCTCGGTGAAACAGCGTGCCTTCGAATTCAAACGACAACGTAGATGACTCGTCCGTGAACGCTACATTATCATCACATGACATACATATATATCAGCCAAACAGACGACGAGGGAGTATATGAAGAGCATAGGATGCTGCCTAGAGCTGATAATATATATACCTTTGCGTAGATGGCCGTTGCCAGCATACAGCAGTTCCCTGTAGCTAAGTTTGCCTCGCTTTGGCCGAGGGCCAATCGGCATGGGCACCCTGGCTGGCACTGGTTCGTGGTCCGTCTCTTCGGGAACACTGCAACTCGCAACCCTACGACGCAACAATGAATTCGCCATCATTTCCAGCGAATATATATATATATTGATATATTCCCGTACGCTGGGTTCCAATGGTTCATGGAACAAAACCATTTGTCCGGAAGGTTCACCGACTTGACATGCGCTGGGAGTTTGCGCCACTTGTTGCACTTTTCACACTGCGCCCACTCGAGCACTGGAATCAGCTCGGGGGGTTTGATCTACGTACAATCAATATATAGTATTCTATAATATATATATATATATAAATATTCCATCGATGCTACGTCCAACCAAACTCTACACCCCGAAACCATCACACACACGCACGCACCTTTTTGTTTTTGCCACCGACGGGGCTATCGACGTGACCCGACGGACTGTCCACAGACGACGGCAACGCCAGCGCCGCCGCCGCGACCACCGCATCGCCCACCGTCGGAAGCGCTCCTTGGAGGTGTAGGCTTTGGTGCCGAGGGCTTCCTTTTCCCTGGCGGGGCGGCTGTTTCGAGGGCGGCGGCGGCGGGGACTTGACCGCCTTGCTCTGCCACAGCGACTCGACGTCGGACGGATTCTCTGCCGCGCACGTGGCAAGGGATGGGGCCCACGTGTTGAGGGAGCAGTACCACTTGATGGGCAACGACGCAATGTCAATCGAGGGCGGCACGACGCGCCACTTGCCGCACGTTTTGCTTTCGCACTGGACCCACTCGATCTCTTTGGCGCTGCTGTCGACACCACCAGGCAGGGCGGGCGTTGCCAGTTTGCCCCGCTGCACCGTCGATTTGAGCTTGGCGCGCTGCTTCTTGGTGAGTTTGGTTTCCTTTTTCTACACCATAAGAAATTGAACAAGGATTATAGTGTTTGGATCAACACGGTAATATCCTAGCACAATCAAATATACGCACCATCCCGTCGGGTTGTTCAGGCTTGATCGATACGGGCGGCGGCGCTGCGGCGGCGGCGGACGGGGGCGTCCCTGGGGCCATGATAGGTACATCGTTGTCATCGTCCATGTCATCATTGAGCTTGGCTTTCTTGGCTTTGGGCTCGACAACCTCCTCGGGCACATCGCATGACGCGTACCGGACGTCCCAGTCGTTCATGATGCAGTACCACGCCGTGTTGGACATGGCCGACAGGTCCAGCTGTGGCGGCACCGTGCGCCACTTTTTGCAGCGGTCGCATTGGACCCATTTGGCGTCTTCCTCGGTGGGCGTGAGGAGCACCGCGGACGCGCGCACGCGCTTGCGCTTCTTTTTCTTCTTGTTGCGGGCACTCAGCGCCTTGGCAGCGTCGTCATCGGTCGCGTCGGAGGGGACGACATGCTGACTGGTTGGAATCGTGATGTTTAGCGGTGGAGGCGACTCGATGGGCGGAAGGGCGAGGGGCGGTGGGGGTTGAAGCGGCGCTACGACGACGAGCGGCGGGGGCTTGAGGCCGCCAGACTTTGCGCGTTCTTGGAGGGGTCGAAACAGAGGGAGACATGACGGCAACGAGGAGATTTGAGGAGCGGTCGGAAGGATCGTATGAGGCATGGGCACGTCGTCGGGACCAGTCGAGACTTGGGGTTCCACCGGTGGGTTGGCAGGACGAGGAGGAGGAGGAGTGTATGTCTCGTCGTTGACGCTCTTTTTGTCCTTTTTTTGCTTTTTGTCCTTTTTCTTCTTCTTTTTCTTGTCTTTTTTGTCTTTTTTGTGCTCTTTTTTCGTTCTTTTGTCGTCGTCGTCGTCCGTCGCGGCGCCGAAGTGGGCATGGCAGAGGCCGCGTGTCGAGCAAAGACGTTCAAACCCTAACGCGTATGAGCTATATCGACATGGGGGACACATACCAGATGGGGGGAAGCATGTAGCGTGGTAGGCCCGTGGACACCGCGTGCACCGGATGGCTTGATCGGCCGCGCCGCCATGACTCTGCCCTTCGCATTGATGACACGTGTGAAGCGGACATATGAACGCAGCGACGCCTTCGAGGACACGGGTCAACGGCAGACGCGTCACACATGCCAGGTGGTAAAACTTGCCGCACCCGGCAGCGCGACAAGCCACGACGGGATCGTCGGGGTGATTCCTCGTTGTTTCCTGGCACACAAAGCAAGGGTGTGAGTTTGTCCGACAGTCGACGCACTGCCATGACGACGATTGAATCTCGTTGGGGCAACACGCAATGTGGAATTTGCGAAAGCACGCGCCGGTGCACGCGAGGATGATGGAGCCATTGTCGAGCAGAGCGTCGCATCGATCGCAAATTGAGTCTGGTGCATGCACAGTCGGCTTCTTCACATCACTTGAACTGAGGAGTCGTTGCTTCCGCACAAGAAGGGTGTCCGACGAGCTGCTGCTGCTAGAGCTCTCGCCCCCGGAATCCGCCATTTTCGCGCACCGACGCGTGATCGGACAGCAGAAGTGTTCGAATTTGATAATATACGGATAATATGTGTGGGATTCCGGATAATGATTGTCATTTTTGTTGTGCTGGATGCGCGGCTACAATACTGAAGTACCTTCTTGGGCAGATGTCGACGGCTCTGGTGCAGGTCGCCGTAGCCTTGCTTGTTGTCGCTGGCCTGTATGCTGTCAAGCGACATGCCGTACAGCCGCCCTTTTCAAAGTTCACCAAGCTAGGTCTAACCCTGAAAGTGCACGCGAGCTCCATTTCGCCATCATCTTCGCGTCGCACTGTGCTTGTCACGGGCGGTAAAGGGTCTATTGTGGATAAGGATCTTCACTTCCAAATACATATTACGTTGGATCGACTACCTTCTTCAAGGCAAGCAAGCCAAGGAAGTCATTAGGGTCCATTGGCTCGCGCATTGTGAACCATCTTGTTGCTGGTGACTTGTACAATGTCATTGTGTTTGACATTTCTTTTCCCGCAACGTTGAACCCCAATGCGACTATGTCCAAGGCAACATGTTGCATACCGACCACGTCAGCGCGGCCTTCGATGCAATTCCACGAATGCCCGTCGAGTCTGTGATATATTCACACACCATCACTGATCCTCCCGTTTATGGAGGTACCGCCGTCGAAGGCGTCAACGTGCAAGGGACCAAAGCATGTCCTGGCCGCAGTCCGTGCCAACGCTGTCACGTCGGTCATCTACACTAGCTCTGCATCGGTGGTGCTTTCAACCGCAGAGCGCAGTGTGCGCAAGCTTACGGAAGCCTCAAACCCGTACCCTGACTAGAACATCGACACTTATACGCGCACAAAGGCCATTGCCGAGCGGCTTGTTCCGCCGCACCAAACACCTCCCCCAACACCGCTATAGTGGCATGCTCCCTTCGCCCAGCGGCGGTGCTCGGCCTGGAACAACTCCACGCCCGAAGTTGTTTGACCATCCAAGGGGCCATATTAGGAACGGGTGACGCCTTGTTGGATTGTGCACTGGATTACTCGGTGGCGTTCGCACACATGCACTGGCCCTAGAAGCCCTCGAAACCAACCGTGGCCACAAACGCTGAGTAGACTAGCGTATTTCATCGAACAAAACGAAGACGAGCACGAATACGGGTGGTTCAACGGTGAACACTCGGTCGGTCTGTCGCCAGGACTCACACACTGGCATCACCCGCCACCACGGCACAGTCCGCTCTGGCTCGTCCATGTGCTGTGCTTTGTGAACGACTCCACAATTGCATCACTGGAGTCGTCCTCCTTATAAGCATCCACTTGACAGGTATGTTGGTGGACTACACCCACCGGACGTTTACGTATTCAAGTGCCAAAACCAACCGAGAAACCAATTTCAGCTACAAGGCATTCGCGGCATTATTGTAGCACAGTTCCAACGCCGCAAGCCAAAGCTCGACTAAATGTGTTCCTGAATAGTTGTAACTACCGGTGGAAGGTCAACCACAAATCATCACATTTGAGGAAAGTGATGGAGACAAGCCATGCAGTTTGGATGCTTCCGTTGTCGTGATCGTACAGTAGCTAGCAGTCAAGGGGGCTCGGCAATTCTTCTTGCGGAAACTCTTGGATTGGGGTGATCTTCTTGTACTACAGGGTAGCCCCAGGAGGGGTTCAAGAAGTGTAGTGACTGAGGGCAGGTCGATCGAATTCTATACTGTACAATGCTAGGGGATTGGTCTCCGAAAGCTGGCGAAATGAACGTGGTTGATGACATCGAACTTTGAAAGTTCATCAAAGAACGCCACGAAGTCTACTCATGTATGGCATCCACATTGTCAAGACGATGGGTGGTGGCGGGCCAGAATGTCAGCCTCGCGTAGAAGTTGCAATATGATGCACCCACTGAAGCAGACTGGTATTGTACTCTCAACACAAATGGTTGGTTCGAGATTCACCAGTACATGTACTGACGTGACTTTATACTTGATCGAAACTGAGTGCCTCAGATCTCGATTGATAATGTATATATCACTCGTCCTTGTTCACATCGTGCATATTGGGTTGCCCAGCTTGAAAACGAACACCACTTAGAGGTTGAGCGGAAGAATGTGGCGAGGTTCACCACACAATTAAACAACTAATTGACTCTTGAACTCGTAACGTTATCCTCATACTATACACACCCAAGACAACAATGATTCCATTGACACCGTTCGAAGCCAACCAAAGCGCCACAAGCAGCATCAGTTGGTCAAGGTAAGTTTGATGTGTGGGAGTGGCTGGGAGCTGCTCTGACTTTGGAGGGCTTCGAAGGGGGTCAACAACGGTGACGGAGGTGGCTCCATCGGAACAGACAGCATTGACGCGGGCAATCGCGATCGTAGGGGCTGCAAGAGGGTTGCTGGGTGCTGTCTTGGATGGACCAGAGGTCGGGTGGTTGGCGTCTATATTGAAACCGTTCGAAGCCAACCAAAGCGCCACAAGCAGCATCAGTTGGTCAAGGTAAGTTTGATGTGTGGGAGTGGCTGGGAGCTGCTCTGACTTTGGAGGGCTTCGAAGGGGGTCAACAACGGTGACGGAGGTGGCTCCATTGGAACAGACAGCATTTGTTGGGGTGGCGTCTATATTGAAACCGTGCGAAGCGAACCAAAGCGCCACAAGCAGCATCAGTTGGTCAAGGTAAGTTTGATG